AAATGGTATGCCCCAAAAGGCACAGAAATACAGAAGAAACTGACACCAACTCAACAGAAGGTGTTTTGCTCTCAGATTTCTACAGCCGTGTGTTTCCTCTGAGGCGTACATGATGAAAGAGTGTGTTGCACAGGTCTTCTGTATACGCCTCACCTCCCAGCCTCAGCCCTCGCTCCCTTTAAATGCTTTCCCAATCATACATGCTCTGAAATCTTGAAAGCGAACTTCACAATCCATTAAGTCGCTAAGAGAAGGATTTGAAATCCATGGGACAGGGTTTCTTTGCACTCTCTCTCTCCCCAAGGCTCATGGGGTATGCTGCATTTGTGGATCTGACGATATTAATTTTTCAACTACTCCGCCTCAGCTCTTTTCTCTGCTTATATATAAATAAATATTACAGACACACTTCACTTTCCAGCAGTCTTTTGTTTAGGCTCAATTCATTCAAGTCCTCAATTTGGTTGTATTTCCACAAAGGACGCTCTGAAATGTCCTGGTATGAAGAGGAAAGGCTAAACTAATCTATTCAATTTGAAGTGTGTCACAGACTTTGGGGCTTCTGCCTTCAAGGCGCAGGGATAAGAGGATAATTGGAGCTCTTCTTTTTTGCCAAGGATGCTTTGCTTGCTATCAGCCAGTGCTACTTTTTCTACTCGCCGCCCGAGTCAACAACTCTGTTTTGACGAATACAAAGATGAAAAAAGGAACATTCAGCATTCTGAAGAATCAGCAAGACAGGAAAAGAGTTGGTAATAGGCTAGGTCTCGCCTTGCTTGGTATGTTTTTACAAAGGAAAATGCAAGCTTTTGAGAAAGAGGGTAGAGGAGAACGGAAAAAAGAAGACTTTGAAATAGTGGCACAACTATTTTCTATTCCATTAGTTGATTTAGAACACAGTGTTGAAACTGTCTGCAATGCATAAAGTGGAATTACAAAATGTGACTACATCCACAGCAAGGACACGTGCATCTCCAGCCTGAATGACTTTTTAATCTTGAGCTGTTCTGAACATCCTGTACACAACAAAGTTATTTTATTTTCAGCCATTTTGTCAACAACTATTACTTGTTTGCCCTTGACCCTGCTGCCACCACACCTTGATGATATACACTGAGCATTTTCTGTCATACTTCTCTCCTCGGAGGCGCCTCATCCTTGTTGTGTTCATATTTCAAACTGCATCTGATTGTCGTTTCCTTGTAAACAATTTATAGTTTTTCTTTCTTCTCTTACATGCACTCTCAAAAGAGTGTTTCAGGGGGCTAAATGTCAGGACTAGAACTATGGTCACCGCTGGATTCGAGGAAGAAAACCACTTCAATCACAATTCCTCCTGAATTTTCCAACCTAACATTGAATATATTAATTAAATTAAGCACACTTGATCAAAATGAATCATCTGATCATGCAGAGGATTACAGATTGATTCAGCATTTAATCAGTTATTGATGAATGGGCATAGCTGATTTAATATTAATAGAAGCATTTAGTTTACAGCTGTATCTGCCACATCCCCATACTTTAGCTGTATTGATTATTTTAGCTTGGTCTGCTCTCACTGTTAGCTGAGGCAGTACATTTACAAATCATAACTGACAAATGTATTTGTACCACTTTAACAACCTTTAGGAGTGAAAGGGTGGAGGGTGGAGCACATGTCGTGACAAGTCATTGTCAATAGGACAGCCAGGTTGCATCCAAACAAATCACGATGATTTGAAAAAAATAGTAGAGGGAAGACATTCGCTAAGGTTGTTTCCATCATCTGAAAGTAATGTCTCTATTCATCACGTGATTCGGAGCCACCACAAAATGTAAAGGGTACTTACTGGGCCCATGCTACACCCTTTGAACAAGTTTTAAGAACATTGCAATAGTAGTTTTGACAAAAAGATTAACAAACCAACCCACAAATATACATTCTTAGCAGAGAGAATAACTCCTGTCTATTAAATGCGGTTTGAGTTACTAGTTTGCTGCTGTTCTTGATTTGATTTCACTTGACTTGGCTTGTGACTGTACAGGAGTTCAAACATATTTTACCCTTGATCGAAACAATTATGAATTTGAGAATATAATATGTATGTATAATAAAGTTGTAGAACTGGTTGCATAATGGTCAAATTATCAGTGTAAAGTAGACCAGAGAATGTAGGAGCAATGACAATGAGGTTGAACCAAATGTGCTGTGATCTGCCAATTTAAAACTTTGGTTGGAAAAAAAAGTATTGCCCTTCTTTGAGCCAGCACACTGTATATAAATTGTGATCTACTTGATTAATTATGTCTCGTACTACAGAGCAGTGCCTGGATGTGTGATGTGTAAAAGCACGAGACCTGAAAGGGCTGAGGCGTCTATCTGAACACCATCTGACAGCCCTGTCTGATCCCATAGATCTGTGATCTGTATCATGCAGCTCTATTAATCCCTCTTTCAATCACCCTGAAAGAGTGAAAACATGAGAGGCAGAATGAAGCGTGCTTAGGCCTTCCCGTGCCTCACGATGCTATATATCTCCATATATAAACCAAAGCAATTAGGCTACATGTTTGTGGATCAGTAATTGTCATTCTAAACAGTGAAATGCATCCATGTTATGCTACACACGAAAAACAGTAGTGAATCTTCATAGAGGGAAAGGAAGAGGATAATAGTGTCGCTTTATAGGCATGTGGTTGTGTTGTCAGGTTAGGATTACAGATTTATCCCATGCACATTAAATTTGACATTTATCAATCCATTCTCCAAGACCTCTGTGAATCCATAAAGGTCTCTTGATACCTAATTACACCACCGAAGAAGAGAGACAGCTCAATACTCGATGCAAACAGGGTCATCAAACTGCCAAGTGCCGGTTAATGCTTTTAGATGTTAGATAACTCTTTTAATATTTCTAAAAACAATTTCCCTTTAATTACTTTTATCTCCTCATCTCCATTGTTATTGGAGATCTGTTGAACTCTTCGATGTTCTCCATTTATTTTGCCAGGGTTGAAGGGCAACTGTAATAAAAAGTGCTGCTTCGTTTCATCTCATATTCCTCTCCTTATCTAATCCCATTAAGGCTCACGCTTCAGGAAATAAGAGTGCCTCCTTGTAATGAAGAAATACATTAACCAAGCTACAAAATGGCCCCTCTGCACAAAGCCTGTTTTCCCCTTCAGCAATCCTTATGACATCTCTCTGGAGATCTCACATTTATATAAATAGATGGTGTTGTCTTTATATTCATTTCAGATCCATTTACTAATGATGACATACATTTAAATCGAATTTTCTTTACGGTGTAACAAAATGAAATGTGGATGTCATGGTGTAAGGCTTTACTCCAGCTCCTCAGGGATGTTTTCCTCCTAAAGCTTGGCTGTCAGCTGTTTATGCGTGATGGTGCATGATCCATTAACAGAAGCTATTACAACCGAGTCTTAAGATGTCCACGTGAGCTCTCCTGAAAGGTTGTCAAGGAAAATTAAGGAGGTTCAACTGTTGATTTCCTTGTCCAAAGCCTACTATACATTTATTCCAAAGATTATTTCGTAGAAGAATTGAGTAAAAATGTCTATCCTAGTTAAGTCCAAAGTGATGTTTATAAATGTCTTGTTCTGTCAGTTCAAATCCAAAGATATTCAGTTCAATATGATAGTAACAGGATATTTCCATATTTGAGAGGCGAAGGAACAGCCTATTCTGCATTTTTTTATTCTAATGTATTCTAATTGTTTATTTGATTATTTTTCTATTGTTCACCTTATCAATAAGTCGACTTATCGTTGCAGGTCTTATCCATGGCCAAGTCATTTTGAGCTGAACAGCTGAATATCATATGATGTGAATCCCCCTAATCTCCTTTCTCATACCCACAGACTTATGTGCACAGCAGCCTGTCTGTCCTGGTTAGCAGCAGCTGCATCGGCAAACACTTCAGTCAGACCTTCTCCAGGGAGCACGCACCAAGGAATCCTTCAAGGTCTGAGCAAGAAGCGAAAATGACTTCACGAGTGGATCGTCTGCAGCTCAGGTCTAATGTGGCTGTGAGCTGAAGCATGGCCATTGTTTGTATGAAGGTGTGAGAGTTGTTTGTCCCTCCCTTTGAGGGTAAAGTGAAGTATTTAATTGCTACATGGTTAATAAATGAGTTGGGTATTTAACTAATTGTATGGGTTCCTCTGTATGTCAGCAATAGACACAATATAAAGTCCACACTGAAGAGTCAAGCTGACCTCAAAGTGGCTAAGAGCCTTGCCAAGAGTTAGTTAAATATTAAACTGCCCTTTGATGCCAACAGCCTGCTGATATGGTTACAGAACTCAAATGGGATTAAATAATGTTCATGCAACTGATGAAGCCTCTAGGAAGAGTGTTAAACTAACATTTAAGCCCATATGAAATCTGCCAGTATTCTATTGCTTAAACATCAGGATGACTGATGAAAAACTGATGCCATGGTGCCACCTGTTGGGCTGTTGAGACTTACACAAGAATGTATCCAAGACATCTTTAGCCTTAACAAATACACACCTTTCTCTGAGATAAAAAGGCTTAAACTTCCCTTATTACATGGCTTAGTTGAATACTCGATTATGATTGTCAATTCAGAACACGTGACACGTTAATCCAGAACAGACCGCTGTCAATGACTTATTGACCGTTGTAAAGGACGCACAAATCTGCAGAAAGAAGTTCGGTCGATTTAACTGTATAGTTTTGGCCGAAAAGCAAACTGCATGCTTCGCGTCGGGCTCCTGGACATTCGGGTGTTCTTTTCCCCATAATAACCGCCTCGCTGCACATTATCCCAAAATTGGGAGGGTCGCTGCGATCTCATTTAGTAAAGTTTTAAATACGAGGTTAAATTCATTCAACTATCTGTCGCCCTAAAGTCACTGCCTCGAGGCAAGATTACTGCACTTCCGTACAGATTAACAAGAATTGTACCCTGTGTCTCCTTATGATGTAATTTTAAGGGCAAAGAACACTGTCAATAATTACCAAACAATGACTGTTTTTGTCCAAATTTATTAGCAAGAAAAATGGGAATCCGACATGAAAATCTTCCAGTTTAGATTCATTTCTTTGTAGCTTCTTCCTCTGCGAAGCTCTTGATCATCTCTTCCTTCTTGGCCAGGAGACGTTCTTCTCTGCGCTTGCGGGCCTCCTTTGTCTTGGAGCGGCGAGCCTCAGCCTGGTCACTGGATAGGTAAAGAGAAAAGGATTGGTCAGTACAACCGAAGCTAATGGAAAACATACTTTTACACATGGATACTTTCAGAAAAAGCAAGCTTAAAATTGAGTTTTTCCAGCTTTGCCAGGGAAATGATCCTAAAAACAAATATCAAAACGGGTCCAACAAAAAGAGCAACTTACGAGAGAAGCTTTCTGCGAGCCTTGTCTGCCTTCAGCTTGTGGATGTGCTCCATCAGGATGCGCTTGTTTTTGAAGACATTACCCTTGGCTCTCAGATAGAGACTGTGGTACCTGGAGGAACAGAACAAATATATTCAGACCATCTCAAAACAAGATGCTTCTTCCCTTCCTGATTAGAAGTAAAACTTGACTGTCACCAGAAAAGAACTTCACACTTACATGTGCCTGTCAATTTTCTTGGCCTCCCTGTAGCGACGGAGAAGACGGCGCAGGATTCTCATGCGGCGCATCCAGCACAACTTCTCTGGCATACGAGCATTGGCTGTTCCCTTTCTCTTACCTGGTAAGGAGAAAAAACACAATTTAATATATTTATAATAAATGAAGGATACAATTCAGTGGCTCATTTTAAAACTACTATTTGCAGGATTAAAAACAATTGCCATTTTTATTTCTTTCAAAAATGTACAAGAGCCATTGACTTTCATATTGTCCACAGAGAAACTACTGAACTCGATGCGAATACTCGATTCAGTAGTAAAATCCTAGAGTCTTTAAAAGCAAATCAAATTTATGCATTTTTAACGAAATAAAGAAAAAAGGAGATTACCCACCATAACCCATGTGACGTCCCTTGCGGCGTGCCAACGTGTTCTTGCGGCAGCGAGCACGGGAATGAACCGTCACAGGTTTTCTGATGATCAGACCATCCTTCACCAGTTTTCGGATCTGCTGGCCTGTGGAACAAAAACAATGCAATAAAGATGGTTGCATTGTGTGCCCTGTGCACACAAATCTACAGGAGGAGAGCTCTCTAATGTAAAGTATAATACTCACGAGAGTTTGCGTTGGCAATCTCGTTGGTCTCATTTGGGTCCAGCCACACCTTCTTCTTGCCACAGCGTAAGACGCTGGACGCCAAGCGTTTCTGGAGCCTGAGAAAGGGAGAATTTGTATTACAGCAAGTAATCGTGGTTCATCAGAGTTGTTTTGACTTCTTTTTATTTACTTCCTGTACAAAACACTAACCACTGGAGGTAGTCGATGTGCTCTAGTATTGACTGAAAGGGTAAATACACAGAAATATTGCTGCAAACTGAAGTAAATGTATAATCTGGATTAGAAATAAAAGGCACATGGAGAAAAAATATTTATTAAAAGGAGGAACATACAAACCTATTATAATTAATAGCCTACTAATACTAAAGTATATATTGGTTTGTTATTTATCATAAACTGAGAAGACTTTGTCAAATGCATTTAAACAATTAAAGACTCAAAGTTAATAATGTTCCCCATTTGTTATTGGAGGAGGCCCTCCATGTTATTTTGTATATAAAAACAATTCACTTTATCAGATATTTCTCAACTACTAGGTGCCATAACCCTCTTGTACATGAAGGTTTATTTCTTTAAAAGGAAAAATGTGCCAGTCACAAAAACGAATTAGCAGGATGACTGGTTCATTAAAAAAAAGGTGTTAGTTATTTGCTAGTAAGGGTTGATAGGAGGCAGAATGGAGATAGTCCCATAGGGATGTCATGACATTTGTTTTACTACTAGGCATAGAATTGAGAGAGAGAGAGACATTTGGAAAGTGCCTCAAAGAAATTCTGACTTAATCCACCTGGAAAATGTGAGGATCGTGGAATGCACAAATAACCGTAACGACCCACCGTTAGCGTGGCACGGGATGGAATAGAGCAACTATGCTAGTTTATTTATATTTTATTGAAATGTTTGATCGACCAACGTTTAAGAAACTGCATTTTATGCCAGTTGATTTGATGCGAGGGGCCTTAGGTGTTAAAGTACATGGTGTGTCATGTCTTGGTTAGTGTAGCTAACTCAGGTTAGCTCACCGACATAGGCCCCATGCTACATATATTCCGCTAGAAATAGGCGACCTTACTCAAAGTCATTCAGAGTTCAATGTATCCCTCTAGTCTTGTATAACAATTACAAGTTTAAAAATCCTGTTTATTTTTTGTTTCGGATAGAAACACATTGTTAAATGTTAAATGCCTGGCTTACCTCATGGCTGCAGCTAGCTTGGTTAGTAGGGACGAAGGAAATAGAAAGAGCCAGAGCCTCCCATTTTAAACAACGTCACGGGGGAACTCAACTGCGGCAGTTTTAAATAAATCGTTAATAAAGCAACCGGTGGTAGGCAGTGGCAGTATTTATTAAGATTTCATTAAACATTTTGATATTTTATGTTGTATCTATGATTTAATATAGTTCTAAAGTCAAACTGAGTGTATTAATAGATTCCCCCCACCGTAGCACAGTGGTACGCTCCATAAAATGTAATGTGTATATCTGACCACTGGGTGACGCACTATGTCCATGTTTTAAGAACTCTAGTTTCTAAAACGTCGGATCTTTGTGTTAGTGTTTTTACTCTACAATGTTTTATCTAATCAATATACTTTATTCATCCCTATTAAACTTGCTCTATAGTTTAGAATAAAACAAAAATAATGTAAATAAACAAAATAGAATATAAATATTTATACTAACAGTAAAAGTAATAATGTGCAAAAATATATAAAATAAAATAGATGTATAATATTTGTACAAACATAAGAAGTTAAAGTAAAATGTCCAATAACAGATTTAACTAGAGAATGCAATTCCTGAAGAAATTGCTAGTGGGAATGCTTTATGCTGAAAAGCTGACGCTAAACTGCTATGCTGAAATGTAATGTGTAAGAAGAAAGTGAAGAATTTAAATTGAAATGATACATGAACACTGGGGGCTTGAATGTGAAAGGTGTGCATTGTTCTGAATGAGAGATAAACCTCTTACATGTGAACGTTTTGTGCAAGAACGAAAACAGATATCTGTGAAATTTCAAAACGTGAAGCATGTCAAGGAAGTTGAGTATCTGAAGTGTAATTTTTGTGTACTTTCGGGTTAATAATGTGGCCTTTTTGGCAGTTTAACTAAAGGTGTGCGGCTGCTGCTGTGAGGAAATATCAGCCTGAAATTACAATATGGAGACATGTTGAACGTTTTTGTCACTTCATGCCCTCAAGAGGCATTTTGTTGATTTATTTTTGCTTAATTATTTGTCATTTTTCAAGCTACGTGATGTTTTTCTACGTTTGTCATGAAAAGGTATGTCTCAGGAATGTAGGGTTTGGGAATTATGGCAGTTTAAAAAAAATATATGAAGGCAAATTTCAAGATTTGCTCCACTCTAGCTGTGACATCACGCACTCTAGTTAATGTTAAAATCTGAAGAAAACCTCTTTAACAAGGTCTGAACAATGTTTAATATCTCTAAAAGTAAGAATCAGATTTAAAAGTTGTGTTACACGAATAATGTCAGAAAGATGTGTAACATTTTAAAGTTGGAATGAGGTTTCTGAGTGAAAGTATGAATGAACAGTTAGCAGTTGAAGTCGCATGAAGATTTGTTGAAGTCTGAAGAATGTCTCCATTGACTTCAATGGTTAAAAATGTGATGAATTATGGGATGTATCTCTGGAATTATGAAAGTTATGAATGAGAAAAGTAATAGCCTGCGATTCCCGACCGAGCTGAACGTTTTGATGTTTGAACGGAGTTTCTGCGATGTTGAATGTGGGAGGAGAAGAGGGCCAAAATAAGTCGGCGGAATAATAATAATAAACTTTTTGTCCGTAGCATAACATATTGTTGGAATGCTGTATCAGCATTCCCACTAAATAATATGATGTGTAGATGATGACACATAATAAATTAAAGTAGGAATGTGCAATAAAGAACAAATAGAGATATTTTATTAAAACCTAAGCAGTTCAAGGAAAATGTCCAAACAAGTAAAGTCAAAATGTGCACAATTCAATACAACAAATAACATGCATATAACTATTATTATATGTATTAGTTTTAGGCTTAAGATATTAATGCCATCTATCTTTATATGGATCTGATAGGCCAGTGCTGCCCTCTCCTGGCTGATGGCAGTACTGCACCGCCGGTAGATCACCTCTATACCAAAATAACAGTGCTCCTGCCTCCTGTCCTGTGACACATTTGTGTCTGTCAGAGCTGAGCCGTCCAGTATTCAGAGGAGAGTGGAGCTCTTGCAGGGAGACACGGGCACTCAACAACGAACCAGAAGGCTGGCTGCAATTTTGTCGACGAGTTTATTTTTGAGATATGAGTCAGCGTAACACAACGTTCAAGGTAAGGGAGATTTCGTTCTGGCGAGCCATGGCTAGGAGCGAGCTAGCGCTATAGCTACATCGCCAACGTTGAAGTAACTGTTACTAAAGCCGCGCGTTATTGTCATGGAAACAATAACTACATTGTAACAATAGATTCCTCGACGGCGTTGACATATTTGTGAATGGTGAAAGCTAAACACCGTCAGGGCCGATTTTAGTGGTATATAACCTCACGTTTGCCGGTTAACTTTACATTGACATTGAATCAAAGCAGACCCATTGACAGTATATATCTTACTTTGGCTGGCTTTAGTGACATACAAATAGCTTTAACCGCCTGCCCAACGTTAAGCTGAAGGGATTCCATTCTGCGTAAGCCCTAACGTCAGGTTTGCCACATGAGGCTCGGCAGCATGCCATATAATGTGCCTGACCCGGTGAATGAAACTGCACATTTCACGGTTTAATTTAACATTTTCACCACCAAATAAACCACCTGGAGCCTTTAAACCAGATAGTGTTAAGACATTTTAGCTGCCAAACAATTCGGCGTTAATATGTATGTTAAGCAGACACCCTGCTGCCTGGTCAGGCCATTGTTGTCTGCACAACTAGTTATCTGCACCCCATCTGTCACTGAGACTTCTGCTGCCTGACCTGCTTATTGCAGACAGCTTGGAGCGCCTGAGTCGGATTAACCTACTGTATTCCCGTGCAGTGAATCCAAACAGAGATGGTGTTGTCTTCTCAAAGATAAACATCCTCTGGTGTAACCCTTATTCCTTAATCAATACTGGTGTTTGCCCAGTACTATCTAAAATCAGCAGAATGTGGTGTTGGCATGTTTGTTATCTATTTTGCAACTGTTTCTTTGTTGTGAAATTGTTTCCCTTGATATATGCCTGTAAGGACCATATAGCGTGCATCAGTTGGTATAAGTAAATATTGTATATTGGTAGTATGTTCTGTAAAAACTGCATTTTTACATCTTAACATTAGCTCTGAATTTCTATCATGCTGAGATACTTAATAATACGATTTGAATGATAAGAAGTATGTCACACTTTTCTTTCAATATAATTGAATCACCTTTGTTAACCTATGTTGGCCAATGTTTATCTTACAAGGGATTCTTCTCAGCAGCTAGTAACAAAGACATAACAGCAGAACAAACACAAAGAACAGCACTGTAATGTAAAATAAACCATACTTTTACACAAGTATGTGGGAAAAATGTATACTATTTTAATAAATATATAAAAAGCTCCAATTAACATAATCATATATATATATATATAATGGGGAGTAGTAGTGGATATGATATGTATGTTTTGGTGTTAAGTTATTGATAGTGTATGAATTCTAAACTAAACTCTATATCAGCCAATAGATTTACTTTTCTGCTAATCTTTAATTATGGCTACCTTCTCCTGCTCCTTAATCCCCACAGCTCCTCACCCTTCAACTGCTTTGTTTTGCTTCCAGCAAAGTCACCCCATCAAGGGGAGTACTCTCGGCCATTGACCCCCTTTTTTAAAGCCCAGTTTACCTCATCAGTGTGCGTATCACCTACTAGCACCACAACACTGCAATAGCACAAAGGCTTACAGGGCATTCATGTGCTGCTGGACCAGTTAAGCTGGAACGTATGCTGTGCCCCTCAAGCATAATATTCACTGAAAATGTACTTACATTCCCCCCTTAACTTACACACAGACTCTTAAATGTTTGGTGTGAAAATATTAAATAATTTAGTGACTCACTAGCCTTTTACAGGGGCCCTGTATGTGTTTGCTGTTAATTACTTTAGTACCCTCTTTGTACTTCTCGAGGCTGTTGTACTCTTCACTCTGTATTTTATTGTTGGAATGAACAATTGCGGAACAACAGATGTCAAAATTGTATTTATTTGGGGCCTAGACACTGCACACCTCCAATTTACTGAAAAAGTTAACAAAAAGTAACCAATACAGAATGAAACCAGTATTAATCAGGTTTTTTGTGGTCAGAACAAAGTACAATATTGTTCAGTGTTTAAATCATCAAAACATTCTCGCAGAATATCATTCAAAGCTGCAATTAACTGGGATATTAAGAATCCATATTTGATAATTAATTCCACTTTTATCGCTTGAGAAAAGCCACACCCTTCGTTATTCCTGATTTTGAGTAGCTGAAGCTGTAGAGTTCAATACTTTATAAGTAATACGGCAATTACTGTACCGTACTTCAATTTGTGCAACTATTTTGTTGCCCCTCTTTACCGCCTCTAACAAGTTTCAAAGCCCAGCTCTTATCCGGTTAAATACTCTTAATATAAACTACCAGAAGCTATTTCAAGATAGTTGACCTTTAGGTGTGCAGTACACAACACATCGGTCTGGTGAAACCCATAGCCAGTAGGCACAAATCAAATGAGGATAAATGTCTTTGTAATGGCCCGGTAGCTAACTAACCTGCTGCAACATATATTTATAGAGTGAATACAATAGTGAATCATCCCAATCATCCTCTGGCTATAGTTCCAGATTCCCTAATATGATGTAATGTGGAGCTGAACAACTTGTGTGATTGTAACATTTTAGAGTATGCGCTCGAGTATTATGTACTCACTGCTACTGTAAACGAAATGTGCAAATGTTAACTGTTATTGCTCTTAGCTCTGGTGTCTAAATATACATGTTTACTGACGTTAGATATAGTGTATATGAGTTTAACCTTTGTACATTTCAAGGAAGTTTTCTGTCTGTTTAATTTCTTTTTTAAATGTGGATGAATAATCCTGATTTACATATAGGAAAGCAAGATGTTTGAATTCTGAATCATTTTGAGTGTTTTTCAAATGAGGAAGTAATTGACCCTACTAGTGAATTGCGGTGTTTAAAACAGCAGAAGTGGGACTAAAACAAGTCAAATATAGTCGTAAACAAGGGTAAAATGATATTGGAGTGTTCATGAACAATGGTAAAATAATCCCAGCCTTTTGCTTTGCATTATAGACGTTTCTTTAACATAGCGACCTTGCTTTTCTGAAAGCTCCTTCAGTCTCAGGGGTTTCGGTGTAATGCACAAAACGTTCTTCATTGGAGTGTTGCTAGTTATTTGAACCGCAGGAGATCAGCCCATTAATTGTACTCAAAGGCTCTTGGGACTAGTAAAACAACGTCATCCTGATATCATTTAGAAAATGGCATAACTGGAGCAAACGGGTGTTCATTGAACCCTCTCCATACTAGCAGGGTGATGCATCATGGGGGAGTGGTGCACATTCTTTTAGCCTTTAGATACACCTAGTTTTCCTGTTGAAGTGAGGCTGGTAACACCTGTTTTATGCTTAATCCTCATTCAGTGAAAATGCTGAGCAGCAGGCAGATGTTCCAGGGTGTGGAGGGCAACATTTAAACATCACAACATCAATCATTGTTTTAATATAATATTCATATAATCAAATTTGTATAACATATAAGTACGCAGCAATCCCATTGTCACACAACATGCAGTATGTTTGCATTGAGTATCTTCTCTATATATGAAGCAAAATATGCATCTTCCACTGTAATGTATGTATTCTACTTATTATATTGTTTATTTTTCACAGTGGAAAGTTATTGCAACAGAGCTGGCTAATATAACATTTACATCCAATATCCCTCCGCAGCTAAACAAAAAAACCACAGAACAACACATACACTACATAAAACGGCACAATAAATAAAAGTCCTTCATTGTAGGATAATGAATAGAATCAGTTTGACAAATACATTATATACAAGACCATATTTAGTGACATGTGTGCTGACTTTAGCCAAAGTTTGAGGCAGGTTGTAATGTCTCTAATATTGTTTATTATAATAATAACCTTGTCTATAGACAGTGAACACATGGCTAGCAGAAAGTGTAGTTCATCTTCATAATAAATCTTAAATAAAAATTGAAATAATGAGGTGATAAAGTTTTACAACTGTCAGTAGTTTTATCTTGGTCTATTTAAAATGTGATCTTACTACCTAAAAAGTGAATTAGGATTTTGTTGAATGCCAGGTATATTTAATAGACGATACTCTTGCTTTTAAAAGGGAAAAATACATATTACCCGGAGTGATGGCTGCATTAAAATATGACTATGTGATATCTGTGTCTTGCCAGCTTGCCAGCTAGTGGTGTGTGATCTGGAGGGAGAGATAAGGACGGCAGAGAACATGGCGCTGTCAGACGGCTTGTTGCTGCAGGTCAACAATGGAGAGCAGTGGACTAACCGCTGGAAACATCCCAACGATGACTCGGTAAGACACACCGATCGATGCATCTTGCTAATGCTGTTATACACTGGGCTCAGCATTACACATCTTGTCAGAGTGTTTAATCTATAATCATTCCTTTACCTGCAATGATTTTTGTATGTGGCTGTGTCCCCAGGATCGCAGCACCAGCCCCTCTGTCCTGCGCTGCGTCGCCAGCACGTGGAAGGAGGGCCTGCTGAGCAGAAAGAGGCCCTTTGTGGGCCGCTGCTGTCACTCCTGCACTCCACAGAGCTGGGTAATGTTACACCACAGCTCATTATCTCCAACACGAGTCCCTTTGCTGGACTCTTGTCAGGTCCAGGGGATTATCTGTTCTAATGTAAATGTTTAAGACTAAGGAGAAAATGATCTTTATGCAAAGTACACCTTCCAAAAAAGAATGTAGAGACTGAAGACACAAGAAGTCCATCTCAGCACCAAATCATTTGTATGTGAATCAATCGTAACTTAAGATTGGGTGTGATTGTCTACTATTTTGATCTATTTTCTGACATTTTTTAGACGATTTATCCATGAATCTAGAACATAATCCATAATTAAAATAATCGTTTTTGCAGCCCTATGTGGCGTCTTCTATACATCCAAGTAAAAATACACATACGATATGTGCTACATTTGGTTTGGTTTTCCACATTTTGTTCTCATGATCCAAGGCAAACCTTACTTGTGACGTCTCTAAAAGATGCTGGAAACACTGGCCTACTAAAAGGCCTCAGGCGTACCATTTGTAACAGCTTAGGCAACAGACATTAAACACATTTATTTTAAAACAGTGTGTTCAGCATGAGTTATTGCTGGTTTGAGCATGGGGAGTACGTTTCCCCACAGCATCGTTAACAGGTAACGCAGCACATTAGTGTGTGACAAGCGAATAAAATACCATGCATATGTGGTCTGACACACTTGCCCAAGGTGACAACTTGGTGGCTCCAGCTTGTCTACCTCTGTAAAGATTTCTCGTTTGAATTTCGGTCCGCATTGCTTGCAAAAGAAAATCCTATAATGAGCTCAGTGCTGGTCAAAGACAAGTTGATTGTTTCCCAAAACTACAAACCCATCGCTGTCTCTAAGGCTCTTAGTCAAAGTTATTCTGATACTGTTGTCTTCCTCATAATAATAATCATTTTTGTTTTGGTCCCAGGAGAAACTGTTCAACCCCAGTATTCCATCTCTGGGACTGCGCAATGTCATCTTCATTAATGAGACCCACACCAGGTAAACAAAGCAAAGTCTAGCATACCACCGCTATAACATCATCTCATTACACAGGGTTCTGCCAAGCTTCACTGTTTTCTCACCTGATGACCTTTCTAACTGCACCTTGAACCAAGAGTAATCTCTATTCCTCCTCCTGTACGGTCCAATCAAAACAGTACAGACAGACACTGGTATTCCTAACATCCTGTGTATAATAAATAGCTTTAAATCAAGAAGGCCGATCTGTGAAACAGTGGAAAGGTAGACTGATGAATAATTGAAAGTGTTTGTCAGTAGACACCGGACAGATGCATCCAGTGACTGACCTGAGCAGGCAAAACTCAGCAAGGCTCCTTAATACCTCAAACACAAACAGTATGAGGTTTTGCATAGCACTGCTGTGTATTAGCATGTAGACAGAGACATTCTGGGGCCTTGATGGGCTTAGATCAATGTGCACAGGGTGTTAGTGTTGGATTTGCCTAACACAGTCAGTGTTCTGTCATGTATAAGTTCAAGTGGAACTCACCCTAACACAGGCATTGTCGCAAGAAAGCTGCATGTAATAGATATGTAGGCCAAAGCTGATCTCTGAACATGTGTAAAGTTACCAGCAAATACCTAGTTTTGTCTTGAAATGTGTGTAAATTATGATCAGTTCAACTACATACAGTATATATTATTCTTTGTGTAAGGGTGTATGTAATTGACAGATCAACAAATATCAATAACACATATTCTAATCTATAGAAAAATTTGTCAATACATTCGTTAGCGCCGCCGTCTACAAAGTATATTTAAGAATGTGTTTTCTACTTTACATGTTTTGACGTGTGTGTGTGTGTGTGTGGTATTTGTGTGTGTGTGTGTGTGTGTGTGTGTGTGTGTGTGTGTGTGTGTGTGTGTGTGTGTGTGTGTGTGTGTGTGTGTGTGTGTGTGTGTGTGTGTGTGTGTGGTGTGTGTGTGTGTGTGTGTGTGTGTGTGTGTGTGTGTGTGTGTGTGTGTGTGTGTGTGTGTGTGTGTGTGTGTGTGTGTGTGTGTGTGTGTGTGTGTGTGTGTGTGTGTGTGTGTGTGTGTGTGTGTGTGTGTGTGTGTGTGTGTGTGTTCATGCGCTCATGCAGGCAGCGGGGCTGGCTGGCGCGCAGGCTGAGTTATGTGCTGTTTGTCATGGAGAGAGATGTCAACAAGGACATGTTCACCAGGAACGTAGTGGACAACGTGCTCAACAACAGCAGGTAACGGCCCGACGAGCCATCAATGTGCATCTGAGCATCACGAGAGTCCGTGGTTTCCTCCACTTACAGCATGTCTGTGATGTGCTTTGGTCCATGGCAGGGTGGAGAGTGCGATTGCGAATGTAGCCGCGGATTTGGACGCCGCAGGAACACAACCTGGCCAGGAGCACAAAGCGGTCCGAAAAGTGAAGCAGAAAGCCCGGGCCTTCCTTCAGGAGATGGTGGCCAACGTTTCACCGGCCTTCATCAGGTACCTACCACAAATCTTAGCTCACTTGCTATTGCTGGGCTTATAATTAGCGCTGTACTCAACAAATATGTGCTACAAAGTTCAAACCAAAGAGTTTGTTCATATTCTGAATCAAGATTTGAATGCTCCAAAATGTACTATATTTTCCCACAGCTATAAGTTTGGACTGTTTGTTTCTGTTGCACATCTTCTCACTCATTTCTTTCTGTTCAGGCTGACAGGCTGGGTCCTCCTGAGGCTCTTTAATGGTTTCTTCTGGAGCATCCAGATCCACAAGGGTCAGCTGGAAATGGTCAAAAAAGCTGCGACAGAGGTCAGCAAAAGAAAATGTGTGCAACAATGTATTGCATTGTAATTGTACACATATTTGTGACAGCTAAACAAATTGTCTAACAAGAAATACACACATTGATCATCACAAATGTGTTCTATATTAGCTGGAGACAATAGATTAAAGATACCATTTTTAATGTTTCATTGTTCAAACTGGACTGGAGTTCCATCTGCACTGAGAAATGACCTGTGTTTATATTAAAATCCTCTTTGTCTTTACAGCAGAATGTGCCCATGGTCTTCCTTCCCGTTCACAAATCCCACATCGACTACTTGCTCATCACGTTGATCCTGTTCTGTCACAACATCAAAGCCCCTCACATCGCAGCTGGGAACAACCTTAGCATCCCTATCCTCAGGTAAAAAGCCCACGAAGCCTCACGTCTGGCAATAAAAGGGTATTTCTGCTCTGTGTAAGGGAGAGCTCAAAGATCAGTTTAATATCAGAAGGAAGGGAATTCCTTGGAAGTAGATCAGAGAGGATTTAGCGCTGAACTAAAGAGTGAGATTGATGACAATTTTACATCTATGGAGTAAAAATAGCAGGGAAGCTAATCTGACAACAAGTCGGGAATCTGTTTTATCATAACCTGCTTTTGAAGTGTTAGTACAGATCTTACGTAGTACATCCTGGGACATCTTTACCGAGAACAGGAACACAACAAGCGGTCGCCACACATCAACAATTGGCTGTTTGCTGCATGTCATCCATCCCTCTTCACCTTTGCAGGCTGTCCTGCCTCTCCAAGAAAGGAGAAATGCCTAAAATATATCTGTATAAAAAAATAGTGTAGATAGTTATAGAGGTATACACTAGGGCTGCTCAATTAAAAGTATTTTAATCACAATTACGATTATGGCTTGCAACGATTACGAAAACAACGTAATCGAAATAAAACGATTATTTTTTTATTATTATTATTACTTTTTTTCTTTTTCTTTTTCAATTTTTTTTTTTTGTTATTGGTTTTTCAGTTGAATTATACTTAAAGTTCAGGATAATCAACTGTTAAAAACATACTGTTCAAATGTCTTTTCTCCAATAAATTGATGTTTTCAAAGTAAATGGATCATTGTTTTTAATAATCGTGATATCAATTATTGACCCAAATAATCGAGATTATGATTTTTGCCATAATCGAGCAGCCCTAGTATACACAACTGAAGGGTTCAGCTAAAAAACGTGTAGAGGCAGTCATTTCATTCGCTTGTTCAAAATGGTAGAGAACCACCATTGTCAGCTGTCATCATCGCTTCATTGTTTAAATCACATTGAATATTCCCAATAATGACTTTGAAGGTACATTACTACAGTACAGCATTGCCCTTTAATCACAGTGAAGCCAATATCAAAATGATTGGCCTTACGTGATATCTGAACCGTCACAAATTGCCGCTGCTTAATGTTGAAGCCAATTGATAATTCTTTTTCTTTTTTAGCACTCTAATCCGAAAACTTGGAGGATTCTTCATACGACGGAGAATGGACGAGACGGGAGATAAGAAAGACGTTTTGTACAGATCACTCTTACACGCAGTAAGTCTCAAGAGTCTGTTTATCTTCTACTATAAAGCCTGGTTTAGCATACTCTTCCTCAATTCACGAAATGTTGAGTGTGTTTCTTGGCATGGTTTATGATGTAACTGCATGCTGTCTTCATGCCTTTCTGCTCCGTGTGCTCTTTTCATTCCTGAGTGATGGACAGGGAGGGTTAAAAGCTTTTCTTACATAATGTTAGTGCTTTTCTTCCCCCCCCCCCTCTGTGTGCTGCACTATCGTTGCTTTTATGCATTTTAAATAAGTTACTTAGACATTACAACTCTTGAGTAAGTAAGTTCAGTAGACTGCTTTAAAATGACTAAGTCAGGACTGGGTCAAAATCGTGAAAGCATAATCATTTGAATGATCATTTTTTACCTTCAAGTGCCTGTTAAAATAGTTTACATATTGTTTTAAAGTACTGTCGATGTTACATCAAACTCAACCGTTATTTGGTTAATATGTCAAGGCGCTGTGACACTGGTAGGATAAGTTAGGTTTTCACCTCAAGAAACTCACTGGTCCAAAGCCTTTTGAATAGATTGAATAAGAATTAAGATAAGAAACTGGACTTGTTCCTTTTGTTCCAAGTATTTGGAAAATGTGGATTAACAAGCTAATGAGAAAATCTGAAGTAGAACTAATGTTAATGACTGCTAATGTGTTTTCTACAAAATAGCTCCTCTGAGCAGTGGATTTGCCTAATTGTACCAGTCCATCCCAGTTGATAATTGCTTTTAATTTGTAAGTTTAGAGTGTGTGGAAGAGAGTTCAGGGTACTGAACGCAGGAAAGGCTGAGTATTTGTGCTTCCAAGATAAGAGGTATCAGCTTAAGGCAAGAACAACGGTTGTAAAGCATGACCTAAATATTATCCCTTTGTACCGCAAATATAACACCACACATTCCACCAACACACCGTATACGGGTGGACTATGCACTGCTCTAAGATGGGAAAAGATACCATTTCAATGTGTATCCCTGTGTCGCTGACAGACATTTGTACTAACCAAACTCTTACACATGCAGAAGGTAATAAGTCATGTGACGCTTTAATTTCTGTCGCTCTGGTAAAAGCCGAAAACAGAACTCTGTCCTCTTCACGGCTTTATCTAAATGCCACACAATCCATTTCGGGATAATGTTTCTCCCCCAAAAGTGTCGACATAGCAAGAGACAGCTGTGTATATATACTGTACTCAGCGGGATACTGTTACAACACCGCCGCCTCGGCACGTGCCCATTCCCCGCAGTGTGTGTAGGGGTCAAACCGTCTGTGACCCCCACTCACCTTTATCCTGTATTCAGGCTGCATATACAGTACACCAGCTGCATAGTGCCTCCATCTTTGTAATAGCGGCAATGTTGTGTTTCAGAATCTCAAAGACTTGGCAGCAAATTGCATTTTCATCCAACTATTATGACCTTTACTTACAGCCTATAGACATTTGTCTCAGTTTTGACATCCAGTGCGTGCTTTTATCATCCATCCTACTCCCTTCCACATCATTCTGTGTTTGATCACTCTCCCCTCAGTACACGGAGGAGTTGTTGCGTCAGCAGCAGTTTCTGGAGATCTACCTGGAGGGCACGCGCTCCCGCAGCGGGAAGCCGTCTACAGCGCGCGCGGGCATGCTGTCCATCGTGGTAGACACAATGTGGACCGGGTCGATCCCAGACGTGCTGGTGGTGCCAGTTGGCATCTCTTATGATCGTATTCTTGAGGGCAACTATAATAGCGAGCAGCTGGTGAGTGTCGGGTGACGTCTGTTGTTTGTGGGCCCTTTTGCTTTGGCAACAAAGGGTTTTTTACTCAGTTATTAAAGGAAACAAAATAGATATTATAGCATTTTACTTTTGAAATTGTAGCTGTGGTAAAAATGTGTTGTGTGTGGTGTCGACAGCTATTACATGTTTGTTTATTATGCAAGTCTACATTTTAACCATCTGAACTCCTCCATCCCACCAGGGCAAGCCTAAGAAGAATGAGAGTTTGTGGGGAATTGCATGTGGAGTGTTTAGGATGCTGAGGAAGAACTACGGTTGTGTTCGAGTTGACTTCAATCAGCCCTTCTCCTTAAAGGTGACTTTTCGCAGGTTTATATAATAAAAGAAGCTCTAACTGTGACAGCATTCAGCTAACCCTCATGATTTTAAAGGAACACTTCACCCACAAAATGACTCTACACATGTTTACCTGAATTCTTGAAGAAACATCGCATTTAATGCATGTCTCCCCAGTAAACGTAACCAAAAACGTTTTGATGAATTTAAGTAAATTGGGGTTGAGTTTAACATCAGCAAAAATATATAAAACATTTATGAGCTCTTACACAACTTGTACAGTATAGTCTAATTTATCCAGACTTATGCCCACTTCCTTCCGAACACATCCATTTTTGCTTCAAACTTACTTTTAACTGCACTGTCACATATTTCACATTTTGGCACTACTTGTCCTTCTGAGTTTTCTTTAACAACTCACGGTAACACAGGGTGAGTAACTGAAATACACATAGTTATTTTGTGGGGGAAGTATTGCTTTGAAGCGCTTAAAATAATTTAAAAGCTTAAAAATGTAGGAATCTTACAATAAAATGTCATGTTTTCTTTTGGTTTTTCATCATATTTATTTATTCAAATAAATCAGTGGGTTTTTAATTTGAAATTAACCTTTTTTTTGTCTAATATAGGAGTACCTGGATTCCCAGAGAAACCGCCATATTCCTCCAGCAGTGTCTATGGAGCACACCTTGATGCCCATCATCATTTCGGCACAGTAAGGCCACACGCGCACACACACACACACACACACACACACACACACACACACACACATCCTCCTCTGACCACAAAGCAGCGGCCCCACATTCCCACCTGTAATATTATGAACTCTCAAGTCTAAACTTGACATCTCCCTCCTGCTACTTCACAGCACGCTCTGTTTTCTGACATCTGAGCACACAGCACTCGAGTTAGCATCGGCAGAGGTCAGTGCAGTTCAGAGCTGGCTTTTCAAAATAAAAGGGATACAGTCGAACAGTACATCAACAAAGACAGCAGCGCTCCATGACAGCTGGTTTGGACACAAGTTTGAACTCATGCTAGCAGAGCTGACTCAACTTGCAGAAAAAGTGCCCTGCAGGGTTTAATTTACAAGCCGGGATGGCTAAAACAATTGGTCGTGCTTTTTACAGCGCTAAGGCTTCCACAGATGACATTTTATTATGTATTTATTGTCAAAGCATTTAATATATTCATTGCTATCGGGATGTTAAGAACATTCCATGGAATATAACAAAAAGTGTTTCTGAAGTGAAATACCTACCCCACCTTTAACCTTTTAGTAAAGAGAAGGAAACTAATTTGTGAAATGAACTGGTGTGTCATTCATGCCATATCAAGCTTGCATAACAATACATGTGTCAAACTTGGCTTTAAATTGTTGATTTGTTATCCTTTCAGACCTGATGCCCAGCTGTTTGAGGGGCAGGAGGAGGAGCAGCTGAACAGAGAGATGCCAGAGGACATCATGAAGCGCCAACTTATAAACAACCTGGCCAAGCACGTCCTCTTCAGTAAGAAACTCACGACCCCGCAGGCAGGGGATTCACCACACCCTCACTATACATGTAGCCCTCCTGCATACAACATTAAGGGATCACTATCAGCCTCACCAAGAACAATATTTTTAGTTTGCAGAATAGAAATGCATGTGAAAGGTCATGGATCATCATAAGGTCATCCTATTCCAAGTCTTTCAATCAGGATGTCTCTTTTATTTCAAATACTGGAGCACATGTAGCTTTATCAGGCTCTTTTATCTTTTTCCTATTCAGCACATGGTCTTATTGTCATCCTGTTTCAAAGGTGCGTCTGCTAGCCAGAACTAAGGCAGCACACATGAAATACTATCCCTCATGCTGCCTGCATTCATTGAAAAACAGCACAGCATCAGTCCATCCGCCCCACATCACTGAGGGATTTTTCTTGCCATGAGGGTAGCACTACAGAAACCGGTTCTCCCCAGCTCATTCAGCTGCATTCTCCTACGTTAGGCATTTGTGTTTTGCTCCCAGCCAATCACAAGGCCTCCTTCTGGATGGCATGTTGTTTTCAGCCAATGGGATGAAGGGGAGGATAGAGAAGCAGCAGAAGGGAGGAATGCAGTACCACTACTCACACATGCTTTACACCCCTGAACTTGAGCCATGCTTAGTGACCACTAGTAACCCTTGTACTAAGACATGCACACACACATACGCACGCACACACGCACACAGGCACGCACACACAATTTTAATTTGATCTTTCTGCCTCATAGGTAATTGATGTTATCAACTCTTTTTAATCTTTTTTACTCTTGTGTAATATAATATCTACATGCCTCATCATGGGGCATTCCACAATGTTATATGATGGCACACTTTATTATCAGTAGATAAGATGCCAAGGGAAATAATAATAAAAATGTATAATTTATAAAAAAATGTGTTGCAACATAAAGTCAGTCATAGATTCTAGTCACATGATTGAGGTCTATAAGCTGATTTAAATTATTTTAAACACGTGAATCAGGTATTATTTTTGTTTTGAAGTTGTAGTTAAAGAGTAACAAGAAAGAAGAATTCCCCGGTCCCAAAAATTGATAAATACTCTTCAAGTAACTTTTACCGACTTCAGGTCAGCTGCTTAACAGCCTAACACGTTTTTTTTGTGTTGTAAATACAAGTTTATAGATGGTATTGATATTGTTGTCAGTCTTTTGTGCGTAACTCATTGTATTCTCTTTCTGTCTTCCCTCACAGCGGCTAATAAGTCATCAGCGATCATGTCCACCCACATTATAGCCTGTCTCCTGCTGTACAGACACAGACAGGTAAGTCTGGCTCTTCATGTCCTCCCCTGGTGCTTCCCCACAGTAAACCGCACCATCTTCCATTTTTCCTTTTCATCCTCGCCCCTCTGTTTCTCAGATTTCTACTCCTTTTCCCCATCACGCTCCCTCCATTACACCAAGGTGATCCAAATGTCACATACCTCTGCATGAAAGTAATGAAAGTCCCTCAGTGTTGGAGCTCCCTCTTCCTGCTACCTCCTCTAGTGGTGAGCCGCTGCCCTCTGCAGGCACACTGATGTAGGTGACAGTGGAAAAGAAATTACTGAAACAACTTTATTTTTTGAGGAATTTGCCACTTCAATCAAACTCAAGCCCTGTCTAACTTTTTTCTCATACTGCATAAACATTTTGAGGCGCAAATGATATCAGTTTCTTTTGACTTATTTGTTGAGCTTTTGCCTCCGCTTTGCTCCAGGGGGTGGTGCTGTCCAAGTTGGTGGAAGACTTCTTCAACATGAAGGAGGAGATCCTGTCACGGGACTTTGATCTGGGCTTCTCGGGGAACTCTGAGGATGTTGTGGTGCGTGCCCTCCACCTGCTGGGAAACTGCGTCAACGTGACCAGCAGCGCTAACCGCAACGGAGAGTTCACCATCGCGCCGAGCCAGACTGTGCCAGCGCTTTTCGAGCTCAACTTCTACAGCAACGGCCTTTTCCATGTCTTCATTTCTGATGCAATCATCGGTGTGTAGAGTTCTGTGGTCACTGCGGTGCATCACTGATCTTTGACTTGTTTGCTGTTGATGTTACATCCACATGCAATAATACATTTCATCAGGCAGACTTTAGCTATCCCAGGCCTAGATTTCCCTCCACAAAATTGTTTATTTTTCAAATTGATTGTTAAAAAGCATCATTTTCAAACATGGTTTGCCACGCTTGTTTTCTCTATATTAAGAAACATGTCAAAAAACACAGGAGAAACTCTTTAATAACAAAAACTATAAATAATAGATATATTAAAAAAACAAGATAAACACATTTCAAATACATCATGAATCAAATTGTTAAATGATACAATTAATAAAACAAATAATTACAATCATTATTATTATAAATATAACAAAAATACTTGTACAACTTAACCTACAAAAAGTTCTTGACTAACCAATACATGTGTTCCTGACGTGTCTCCAGCCTGCAGCATCCTGTCCCTGCAGCGAGAGCTGGTGGCTGAATCAGAGTCTGACCACCCCCCCGAGGGTCTCAGCAGCCTCCCCCTCAGTCAGGAGAGACTCATCCGAAAGGCCGCCGGGCTCTCTCACTTCCTTGTCAATGAAGTGACACTGGCACCAGTAAGTCCACATCTAAACGTTGCATGAAACAAAATAAACGTTTGAATTGCCTCTCGATGTCCCTGTTTGTTATGGATTCAAACTGATTTTTTAAAGTGTTTTTCCTTCTCCTCCCGTCTCCTACAGCCCTGTCAGACTATTTACCAGGTTTTCCATGACGCAGTAGCGCGGCTCATCCAATATGGAGTTCTCTACGTAGCAGAGGTCAGTTTACAGATACAAACCTCACTGCTGGTGGACAAAACTAAAAGTGAAAGCTGTGACTTGTGCTAGAAGTGTCATGGGGAACATCTATGGAATGGCTGTTGGCCAACTCGATCAAATGCATTTGTTGTTGTGTGACAGGAGGACCAGGAGGAACTGAGTCCCAGCCCCACAGAGGAACCTTGGCCCAAAAAGTTCCCAGAGCCCCTTTCCTGGAGAAGTGACGAGGAGGATGAGGACAGTGACTTTGGAGAGGAGCAGAGAGATCGCTATCTAAAGGTCTGTTTAAGTAACATCATAAACGTAATCTATTTTATGATTAAACCAACATAACCTTTAGCCTTGCACCAACATTTAGAACACTTTTTAAGTTGTCTTTCCCCCTCCATGTGTTTTTTTTGGTCAATCAGGTGAGCGTTTCCGCAGAGCATCAGGAGTTCTTCGTCTTCCTACAGCGACTCGTCAGCCCCGTGCTGGAGGCCTACAGCGGCGCCGCCATCTTTGTCCACAGTCTGAGTCAGCCCATGGCCGAGTCCGACTACACCCAGCGGCTCTTCAGATACCTGCTCACACGCACAGAGAGAGGAGTGGCTGCTTATGGTAAAACTGCACTATCTACCTCCATACTGTCCACTTTTCATCATCCAGGTTTAGCTTACATGAAAGAAAAATAAGTCTTTGTTTCATTATTTTTTTATTTGATCTGTGATCTTACACAGGCTTTAAAGTTAAGAACATGTTTTACTTTAAGAGTTTATTGATAAGTTAAGGATGTCCTTGAATTTGTATTTGTGACCCGCTCTATCGAAATCAGTCGGAAGTCGCAACGGCTCATTTCAAAATAAACGTGGATTTGCGGAAAAAAAATAGTTTTTCGGGGTTCGGGTGTTTTGTTTGATTTTAAATAAACAAAGTCTTGGCTTTCAGAATATGAAACTTTGATTTCCAAAATCACACGATAAATACATTTTTGAAGCTTGTAAAGGGAAGATGACAGCTCTCACTCGTCACTCTGCTGTTCCGCAGCGCTGCTTCCCCTCCCTCCGGCTGACATTATGAATGTAAGGCGTATAGCAATCATAGATAACACGGCAGGGTCCGTTACAGTTTGTTTTCATCTGATTTCAAATAAACAAAGTCTTGGCTTTCAGAATATTAAACTTGTTTCGGCAAATGTAGATGATAAATACAACTTTGAAGCTTGTAACGGCATAATTACAAGCGGAGAACGGAGTAACTTTACGTCACAGCAGGCATAACAACAGCCGGTGTTTCTCGTGAGTGTTTTCCCCGGGAAACAAACACAATACACACAAACGCAAAAATACACAAACACACACACACATACACACTCGCGAGCTTCCCCCAGACCAGTCATCCAAACAGAAATATCTTCCCTCCGTACTACATTGATCATTTGCTCCGCTAATAATCAATCAGATCGATGGATTCCAGAGAAGAGGAAACTTTGAAGGCCTTTTTCTCAAAATGATGACTCGGTGACAGTCATTATATAATGTGACATATTTTGCTTAATATTTGGATTACAACAACAATCCTGATATCATTAGAAAGCTAGGAATCTCCTCTTTCCAACAGTGTATACAACTCAAAATGTGTCTTCGGGTCAATGCGACTGATTTCAAGAGAGCAGGTCACATATTATCTCTGCAAAAATACCTGATATTCAACATAATCTAGTTTTCCATCTACACAATCAGACATGTACACCAAATATCTTTTCATATTTGAAATGAAACAATCCAATTTATGAAATATATATCTCATAGCAAAGACTACTTCTTAAATAACCATGAATTAAAGAACATTTTAAAAGGTATAAAGTCATTTGCAGCCTTTGTTTATGTATGTTTGATCTCCTTTCTTCCAGGTGAAAGTGCAACTCATTACCTGGTTAAGAACACAGTGAGGACATTCAAAGAGCTTGGGGTAAGAGTGTGTTTATGAAATATTTCAAGTTTATAATTACATGATGTGTTGTCTGTAGTTATTTAAAGAAAGTGTAGTGTTAAGGAAGTAGGTTTCATGCCTTTCATGTTCTCTCCTGCAGGTCCTGAAGCAGAGAAAAGAGAACCAGGTGACGACTCTGGAGCTGAGCAGCACCTTTCTACCTCAGGCCAATCGGAACAAACTACTGCAGTACATCTTGGGTTTCACCCTGCTGTGACCGACACACCTATCAGCCCAGGCTCCTTCCAATAAAGGGCTTCTACTGGTTACTTCTAAACAATCCCAGGTGCTACTCTGTGGAAAGCTTTACCAGGAAGTGCCTTCACGTAACAGCCGCTAACTGTTAGCTGTTAGCCGGAAGAGACTTAAAGCCAGTCTTCCCTTTTTGTTCCAGTCTAAGACTTAGAACTGTGCAGCTGATAAAACAACATGTATTGTTCTTCGAAGAGGGACCATCCTCTCTTTGTGAACTTTACCAGTGAAGTCATGAGGTTTTAAAATGATCAACATTTTAAACTATCACAAAATATACTTAAGCAGGTTAGAAAATAAGAGTTTTACAGCAATCCGAACAAAGCAAGCTGCCTTTCATCTATTCAAGTGAACAAGACAAATATGCATAGAAAATATTGGTGAACATAACCAACAACAAAGGCATTTTCATGTAAACTATGCTTGTTTGTAAGACTGCTGTTTTCATTTCAGTGCACTCTACTATCATACCGAAACAACTGGTCAAAAAATCTGATGAAAGGCTAATTTTGAAAACAAATCTCTGTACATATGCCACGAGAACAATGGTTCTTGTTCGCAGTGCATTTATAAAGACGCACTCCGGTGTCAATTAAATAATATAGGAACATTAGATAGATTCGTCCCTGCAAAATGCGTACACATTTTGATTTGCAACACTAAATGTCCAATACTAATCCTCCTTATAGACGGCTTAGGTCAGTTTTAATACTGGTTTAAAATATAGGCAGCAAATCAGATAAGCCGTGCATTAATATCTACGTGGCGAAGTCATAAGTCCGGTGCAGCTAAAATCACAAACATCTACAGTTAAGTGCATTCAAACCACTAATATCTAAGTGCTTTCAGTTTCACTTTTCTTCATGGGGTTTGATGAGAAGTGATCTATGTGTTTTTGTAACACTTTGTTCACGTGTCAATGAATGTTACATAGCACAGCACTTCAAAAACCCGTAATACCAGCCATCACATCCCGTTTATTTTCAAATGCTACTGTATGAGCTCAGAAACTCTTTGGTCATGTCTTTCAGGGAAAGCAGAGATTTGGGATAACCACCATTTTTTCCCTGTATTATAAACACATTGTATGAAGTCTGTTAAAGCATCACTGCTGAGAGCAATTCTGCTGACTCGTTGGGCATTCGCAAAACAAAGGAACTACATAGTGAGGTACAAATAAGTGGTACATATCCAGTGTGTAGTCCCTTCAAAGGTCTCTTTAAGACAGTGTCTCTGTTCTAGGATGTAGAGGACGTCTTTATCCTTTGTTTACTTTGAAATGCAGAATACTGAAAATGAAATAATTTTCCATAACTGTCAGGCTAATCTATTCTAACTTTGTAGTGGTTTAATGGTACACCAAGGAGATCAATATAATTTCATTTCTTTCTTTTCGGACGTGTCAAAATAAATGGGGTCAGCCAGTTTGTGAAAAATAACTCTTAAAAAAGATAAAAACTGAAAACCTGAAAGTGAAACCTCTCTGCATTGAGCAGCCGAACATGTACCAGCTTTTAACTTTGACTGTAGGATCAACAGCACTCAGTAATTAGTTCTCGTCTTACATGTGTAATTCTTTGTCTGACGGCATTTTGTTTTGAATATAAACGTACATCTATGTTAATAGTGGTGTATGAGTGCACAAAACTGAAAAAGGAGGAGTGTGTGTGTGTGGAAAGGGCAGAGTAAGTTTGATGAATTTCCTGGACTACTAGAGGAGACGTCTACTATTTTTCTTTGTCAGATTGATAATGTGAAGACATTGTGAATGTTAGAAATTGACATTCTTCATCGTCAGGGCAATAAAAAAGAATGGGAGTCGGGTATGTGATATTTAAATGAATATTTATACGGAAAGATTTGTTGACAGTGATAAACAACACTGCTTGTTACAATTAACTTAAATGTTTTTCTGTCAACATATTGCTTTATTTCATATTATAAACCTGCATTTTTGTCCAGTTTTTCAAATCTCTGTACGAAATATCCAAGAAATGGAAACCTATGGAGGATTGGTGACCGCCACCCGTAGCATGTGAAAGAAAAGAAAAGTATGTTATGTTAATGAGAAAACGATCAGAGAGATTTGACATTCAAAGCATTTCTGAGCCCACAATCTGTTTAAAGTCCCCCGCGCTGAGGGACCCCCCCCCCCCCCCCCTGCCGCCAAGATGAAACCACTCTGTACTGCATGTTTCCTCTGGTCGCCTTTAATCATCGACATTTCAATGTGAACTCTACTTAACCTGAGAATTGTATTTTACAGCCTAGTGTGTGAATTATGTTTCAGAGAAAGATAGTTGTTTGTTTAGGAGATGAAGTTCAATTTGTTACCTCTTGAATGTATCTCATCTGTCCCCCTGAAAAAGGTCAATGTGATGTGGTGAAGTCCTCACTGGAGTCGGTACAGACATGATTTTTATGAACTGCTCACGGGGGGGTTATTGTTGAGACTCGTTGCTACTGAAGCTGCATTAACAACATCCCTCTGCAACTATGTAACTAGGATTAAAGCAAATGCCTGTGTCTGGGGAGCAGGTGCCTTTTTAATGCACTGTAGTGTTCTTCGGTTTGTTTGTTCTGTTTTTGTGCATGTTAACTTAGATTTGTGTGTGGGAATCCAAAAGAACACTGTAGATTGTAAATTAAGAAAAACAATAACACGAGCAGAGAACTTGTGGTTACTATAAGAAGAATCACCAGCTACTAAAAAAACAAAAAGTGTCACTTTTTTTGCTTTCTCAGAGCAAGCACAATTGGCATTATTAGGTTATGTTTTTAAATAAATTAATCATAGATTAACAATGGTTGGTTGTCTGTCTTTTTATGTATTTATTGATTTTTGTAAGGGGGAGGGACAGCAAGTGATCATGATTTAACAGACATGTTACCTCTAAGTTTATTTTTCTTTCCTCCATGTTGAATTTGCCCCATCATCTCTCAATTTAGACAGTTTATCATGTTAAGTAACTATGTACATTTACTCAAGTGCTTTACTTATTTGAAATACTTGTACTTTACTTGAGTATTTTCATTTTATGCTACTTTGTACTTCTACTAGGTAAATCATGTACTTTTACTCCACTAAATGTATTAAATACCTTTAGTTACTTTGCAGATTTGGATAAATGATGTTAAATATATTCATCACTTAAATAAGACTTTAGTTACACCTGGTGTAAATTCAAAGTGATTAAAACTAGCTGCACCTTTACCAGCTTTGATAACATATAATCAATCATAATCAAAACATGTAATATATATTATTCTGAAATGGGCCAATCTGCATAGTGAGTACTCTAACTTTTGGTACTTTAAGTATATTTTGATGTTAATACTTTTACTTGAGTAACATTTTCAATGCAGGACATTTACTTGTAACAGAGTATTCCTAGAATCTGGTACTTCTACTTTTACCTAAGTACAAGATCTGAGTACTCAGCTTTTACCTCACACATTCTCGTTTGTCCTGAAGCCTCTTTGAATTATTCTGCCTTTTTGATAAGAAACTGTTATGCAAGAATGTTGTATAAATGGATGGAGCCCAAATGCTACACAAATCTACAAGAAGAATCTGTGATAATTGAATGTGCAAAGAGAGGATTTGGTGCTTTTTTGTGCAAAGTCATTACATGTGAGGTTAGGGAGGAAGACCTGTGGGAGGACAGGAGGAAGATATATATGGAGGCCTCAGACCAACTGGAGCTTTAGTCACCATGAGGACGTCTCAGATACGCCAAGTGTCCATCCTTCTTCCTAACAAGCAGCACCTGGACTGTAATGTCAGGGTGAGTGCGTAAAAGTCCTTTTGTATGTCTTCTTTATGTGTATTTATTTATTTTAATGCATCAGTTAGAATTTAAATGGATGTATGGACCTCGTTATGTGAGTGGACTTGAAGAGCTGTCAGTTAAAGTGTGTGCTTGTTTTAAATATGATATGTGATCTTGTAATCATAATTTGGAATCTTTTTTTTTTTACTGGATGGTAATTCTGACATTCATTTTTTGAGCAAAGGGAAAATATATAAAACCAGACAGGGACTATTGTTCAAAGATAAATAATAAGATTCAATCAACAATGGTGAAAAAGTTAAAACACAATAGTAGACAAAAATACTGAAAAAGGTCAAACGTATAATTGATGCTACCATCGAAAAAATTAGCAACAAAAGAAAAGAAAAACAGAAAAGATCACAAAAGTAAAGACGCGCACTATTGTCACAACTTTGTATCTGTTTGTTTTTTTAAATAAATGTAGAAATTCAACTTTTTTTTGTCTGTTACTTTAAATAATTGTTTTGCTGTAAATCTTATAAGCGAAATTCCATATTCATGCCAACAAATTGCGAAATAGAAACCCAACCTTACTGTATAAAATCGTGAGTTTTTCATTTGTGTTGTGTTTATTTCCAGGTGAGAGCCAGAGGCCAGGAGGTGTTGAACAGAGTGTTGAAGCAGCTGGGCGTCAGTGAGCTCCAGGTCCTTGGTCTGGCTGTTCTCAGAGGTCAGCGTCTGTGTGGGAGTGCATAAGAAAATGTTTTGAATTCATTTACTGAGGGATGCCTGAATGTAGGGAGGCTGCTCGTAAATTAAAAAACTCACAGGAGCCCATGAAGTTAAGATACGTCCATCAATGATTCAAAGAAGTGTTTTCTTAATGTTAATTTAATAGGTGTCTTTTTCCTTCAGATAATGAATACCTCTTTGTTGATTTGGAGCAAAAGCTTAGCAAATACTTTGGCAAAACATGGAAGAGAGGATCCTTAATGGTGAGTTAAAACTCTTATGTAGCAGTGTGCCTCAGTGAACTCTATCATTTATTGACTTTAATCCAGATTCTGTGCAAACTACTCTTTGTCCAAGTATTGTATATGTTTTATCTTAAAAGTGAATGTACATAAGGTCTGTGCAGTGGTAGAAGAAGTTCTCAGATTTGTTAAGTAAAAGTAACAATACCGCATTTTAAAAGTAATTTGTTACAAGTAAAAGTCCTGCATTCCAAATCTTACTTAAAGGTGGGGTAGGTAATTCACTTCAGAAACACTTTTTGTTATATTCCATGGAATGCTCTTAACATCCCGATAGCAATGAATATCTTAAATGCTTTGACAATAAATACATAAATACATTTCCTCTGTGGAAGGTGGTGCTGTAAAAAGCAAGACCAATCATCTGAGCCGGCCCGGCTAAAATAACTGGATGGCCTACCTGCCTGTCAGCCTTCCATCTCGTGCACAAACTTATCTCGTGCCCTCATTGGTCATGTGCGCGTTCGTGTGTGTTGGAGGAGGGGCTCTGTAAGGAATTACTCCTTATGCGTAATTTCAGAATCGTATCTATTAAGATTATTCATGTGTTTTTATCACAACTGGTAAATGTACAGCTAATTTGAATAACTTTATATACTGCTACTTGATATTTTAACCTGTAAATAAACAGTATGTCAAAGTGTATTTAATCATTGATCAACTAAAAGTTGTCAAATAAAATGTAGTGGAGTAGAAGTATAAAGTAGCATAAACTGACAATACTCAGGTAAAGTACAAGTACCTAAAATACTTAAGTACAGTACTTGAGTAAATTTACTTTGTTACTATCCACCACTGGGTCTGTGTAACATGTTTCTTTTTGTTTCTTCAAATATTACCATGACTGTCTAGAATAGTCCTTGAACCTTGAACCTTGAATAGTCTAGATAGTAGAGGGTTTATGCTTGATTTAAAGTGGACCTATCATGCTATATTTGAATAATATAGTGTAGGACCATACCTATATAAGGCATATTTATACCTTTTTTTTTTCAAAATACCAAACAGATCATGCATTTTAGCCATGCCTCATTTTGCTCAATTTGACAATTTCTAGCTCTGTTTGTGCACATATTCATGTATAAAAAGACGTACAAAAGTGCATTTTGCATGATAGGTCCCCTTTAAAGTAAGCAATATTTCTCTTTATTTTACTTTTCCAGGTCCCATTCATCTTGTTTCTGAGGGTGCAGTATTATGTAGAGAGTGGGCTGCTGATAATGTAAGCTGATCTCCCATTTGCATCTTATTCTCATACCCACGTTTTAACACCATGAATGTTGTTCTTGTTTTAAGTGATTTCCTATTTGGTTGTTTCAGGAGCAGCAAGGTGCAGCAGCTGTACTACGCTGAGCTGAGGCAGAACGTTCTGCTTTCAAAGAGCCGCCACCAGGAAGCTGTGTTCTTCCAGCTGGCAGCATCTGCACTGCAGGCTGAGGTCGGAGATCTGGAGGAGAGAGAAGAGGAGGAGGATGAAGAGGAGAACAGAAAACACAGACTTTACTTTCTTCCTGAGGATTACTTTCCCTCATGGGTAAAAAGAAGTGTGACCATTATGTGCTGTTTTATTTTGTGTGGGTGTGTGTAACAACATATATGTCCTCAGCTAATAAAGCGTCGTGGGCGGGACTTCCTGCTCCAGCACTGCCCGGGGTTACACGCTGAGCTGAGAGGTGTGACACGAGGCCAAGCCATCCTGCAGTTTATAAAAGATGCCGGGAACCTGCAGGATGGAGCAGTCACCTTCTACAGGATGAGACAGGTCGGAAATGTTTCAAGTGTCATATGTTATTCCTGGTTATTCCCCAAATGATTTATGAAAATGATACAAAGAGATATCCAAAATTCCTGTTTTGACCCTAATGTTTCAACAAAACAAAAAATGTTGAACCTTGCTTTATTCAGATTTGCATCTCAGAAATGTATGTATTAGCAAAGTTATAGCCTTATTTGCACATTGAACATTTGAACTTTTAATATAAAACAATAGTTGTCTCAATGTAAGATATCAACTGGGAAGTTTCATACTAATTTCTTTTAATAAATAACTATTACTTTACACCTGTAGTGTCTGCCCTTAACATATTCTGTCCGGCTTTATGAGATCATTATCTATTTGTTTAAAGTAACTCTGCTTCTTTGTCTGACTTTGTTCATGTGTAGGAGAAAAAGGAGCTGAGAAGTTTAATACTTCTTGGTGTTTCATCGAAAGGAGTGCATATTTATCAGGTGGGTTTGTGTTGGGAGTTTTTTTTAACTTGAATTCTTTAAGGTTTTGACTTTTAACAAACCTTCTGGAAGTTTCTTAATGAATGTACTGCTACCTTAGCATGTATTAACATTGAACGCTTTTATTCAGGAGGTGGAAGGGAAGCTGTGCCTGTTGTATGATTTGACCTGGACCCACGTTGACCGCCTTACTTTCCAGGTCGGTTGTACACACACACACACACACACACACACACACACACACACACACACACACACACACACACACACACACACACACACACACACACACACACACACACACACACACACACACACACACACACACACACACACACACACACACACACACACACACACACGTATTGACATACACGTGCATGTTGCATGGATGGTTCTGTACCTCTCTGTTCTCAGGGCAGCAGGTTTGAGATCTCTGCAGTGGGCTCTCTGTGCCTCCCTCAGCTGGTGTATTACACGGCTTCAGCCTGCCACTCCAAACACATCCTGACACACCTCAGAGACTGCCACCGGCTCCACATCAACACCAGAGCTGCAGTCTGCTGCATCCAACAGCTGGAGGACATGCAGGGTCAGAAATCTGAAGAAAAAAAAATCATTATTTCACTTCAATCCATTCACAATTTAATAAATGTTGGTATATTAAGGTCCTTGCAGTGAGAGTTGGTTAAAAGGAACCTTAAAACTTGCCATCAAGATTGATAACATGTGAATAAAGAATTAAATAGTAGTTTAGAACAAAAACAC